AACCTCTTTACAGATACTATAAATTAGAAAAACACCTGTAATGCCACCTGTGCCCCCACCAGCAGGAAGAGACCTGAGGGACCTACAGCACTCTTGCTGCCTGCACTGACCGCTCCACTTGCTCCCGAGACAGACAGACTCACATAAGTAAAATGATATGAAAGTCAGCTCATCACACAATATGATAAAATAAAATCTTTCGATAGAGTTTTCAAATCTATTCCTCTCCTTCTGCTGCATACTCACCTTAGATGCTTTGTGAGCCAACCATGTCTGTGCCCCAAACATGACCATCCCCTGCACTAACCATCTCCCTCACCTGCGCCATTCAAAACAGGGGAGTGCTATTAAAGAGAGATAATGACACAAGGTCCAGTTGGAAGTGACCTTTCTCTACTCTAACTCACACAGCCTTCCTTTTAAGAGTCTCCGGATTTCTGTCATTTAACCTTGTGCCAATACATAATTCCTTCTATGATTTCAGTAAGTTCCTTTGACAAAGATGACATTACCTTGTATGCTAGTTAACTTCTATAGAAATCTTAGTCCCTCTCTCCCAGCTTCAGATTACAAATTCCTTAACAGAGGGACCATGATTCACAATTACTTAGTTGTCGGGGGCTTACCAGTGATTTAGGCCTGAGAACTGCTCAACATACCATTAGGAAATGAACATAAAGAATAATAGCTTTCCTCTGGGGAAGGTTCTGTCAGGGAGGTTGACCTTTTAAATTCCTTAATTGACTTTAGTTATTTTAGTTATTCGTTGATTAACTTTAGTCCACAGAGGTCACCTGGGAGAAGTCACAGAACTTAGTTTGACCCCAGGTCATTTCCTCCAGAGTTCCACCTCTTACCTCTACCTTTCTGAATTAAACTGTGAGGACATGAGGCCTGGAGCTATAAAAGACACCTCCCTACTGTGTCTGGCTCTCTCCTGAGGGATTTCTTTCCTAATCTCTGCAGAGGAATATATTACTTTCCAACCACTGCTGATTGGTTTATTGAATCAACTCTTATCTTGGACCTCAGATAACTAATTAGTTTAATTTAACGCTCAGTATGATATTTACTCCTCTATGCTATGCTCCTTTCATGGTATTAATCACAATTCTTATTTTGTAATAGTCCTATTGTCAAATTTCATATAGATAGATATGTTGATCTTTTTTGAAAATTCTGTAAAATTTGTATGTTGCATTTAGGTCATAAAGATTGATTAACTTGAGGATTATAAAATACATTCCATTCTGTTTTGGGAAGAGGTTTAGTGATAGTTCATCATTTCAAATCTAGAAGGTTGCACAATTCTTGTTAATTTAACAGATTACCTATTTTTCAATCTTGGTTAGAATGTGCTATTAGAAGGGGAGCAAAGTTTTATGACTATAAACTCCAAAATATGCCCTTATCTCAAAGTGTCCACGGAAGTTCCAAATATTCTAGTGCAGAAAGTCTATGCATTGATGCTTCTAATGTCTGTAAATACTTAAATAGTATGGCTTTTCTCTCTCTTAAATTATTCATGATCTACACAAAAACTCATTTTTAAGAAGATTAAATTTTTGTCTTTATATCACTAGGAATCCTTCCATCTAACTGGTAAAATAATGTTATGGACCCAGTGGAGTTAAAAAAAAATCTGATACAATGGAAGTTTAGAGCTGGGAGAAAGTATAAAGCAGGGGATGGAGGACAGGGAGTTTGGAGGGAGAGCAATTTTAATTAGAGGGCCTTCCATTCAAAGAAAACAAAACCAAATGTCAGAATAAAAATATGACTTGTCCAATGTCACAAAAGAATTGATGCCCCAGTGAACCTGAGAACAGAGATTTCATACTGGCTGATACAGAGAACTAAAGAGCGATGCTATAGAAATAGTTTAATGTAAAATGACAGCTCAGTTACCTGGCATGATTTTTTTTGCTAATTCAAAGTCATATTTTTTTTTTAAGAATTTGGCCATAGATCGGCATAGATGATTCTGTGGTAATTAGTTGTAACATCTCAGGTTTTGAACTTTACCAACAGTAGATCAAACAGGAAAGGGAAAGAGAACTGAGCTTCAATCACAAGGAATGAAAACCAAGGAAGGGAACTAAACTACAAGCTCATTTAAAAAAAAAAAAAAAAGGCAAGTGTTTGTTACATACCAGTCACCATACAAAAAACAGACATCATCCTTACCCCCAGTCTGACATACATGGGCAAAAAAACTGCTGATACTGATAGCAGGTCTAGGTTCTGTGGGAAGGCCATTTTCAAGGCTATGAAGACTTTTCTCTTATTTCTGTATACAGGCCTATGTTAGAGTTGGTTGTATTTATAAGATATGTAATCACATTAACAAGATGTGGTAAAATGACATAAAAACTTGCACTAAATCTCCCCAGTACATTTCAAATGACAGTCACACTAGCCCCTTCCTAGACTTTGATTCCTATGCTTCATACTGGGTGACACTCTGTCTTGTGTCTATGACTTAGCCTGTTATCTGTGAATAGTTCTTCAGTTAAACTTAAAAGACAGACATGATTCTCAACACATTTCAATCCTATCATTTAAAGCTACAGCAAAATCTAAGGACTTCTAGAAAATTGTAGCTTTTATAATAACCATTGACCCTTCCTCTTCTATTTTCATAAATAAATACATACATTTTTACTGGTATAATTCAATTCAGATATTTTTGAGGAAAAAGAAACATGTTAGAAATACATTATCATCTCAAAAAGAAATGAGAAATTGTAGCAAAGGAAGAGTCAGCATCTTACAAGCAGCAAATTTATCTCTATCTTGTGATACAAATATCATAAGATCAGGTCACGTAACACATTTTATGGTATCTAGTTTGATCAGTTATCTTTATGGGTGTTAACCATCTCATCTATTTTAAGCATATCAATTTCTTAAAGTTGAAGATTTTCCCCAAGCTTCTAAAGGGTCATAAACCTTCCACATGCATTAATTATAACCATCATTGACTCAGTTATATTTTTATGTGTGTTCAAAATTCTCTTGCAACCCTGTTACTATCTCTTAATCATTGCCATTCATTCCTTTGATAAACATGCTTGAGTGCTTACTATGTATGACCCTGGACCCACTCTAAGTATTAAGGATTCAACTGTGTATAAAATAGAACAGGAAAACTTCTCAAGTTATGGCATTAATTATAGTTCACCTTTTGAAATGGTCCTATTTTCAAATTTCACATTAGACAGATCTGTTGATCTTTTTTGAAAATTCTATAATATTTAGATGTGCATTTCACTCATAAACATGGATGAACTTGGGGATTATGAAATATGTTTCATTCTGTTTTTGAAGACCAGTTTAAAAGTATGCTTAAAAACGAAATATATAGTTTGTTAAATGTGCAAACAGTATTAATGAAGAAAAACAAGGTAGTGAAGGAAGACAGGGAGAGGTTTTTTGGTTCTGTTTTTGGCTTTTGGCAGCAAAATGGGGGGGGGGGGTTGTGATTTTAACTCAGGTGGCTAAAAAGCTGATAGGAGAAAATGACACGTAGGTGAACATCAGAACGAGGGGACGGAGAAAACCATATGGATATTTAGGGGCAAAGAGCTTTCCAGCAGAGGAAACAGCAAGTACAAAGGCCCTGAGGTGAGAATAAGTGGGAGGTTTTCCAGAGTGTGAAGAGAAGATTAAGCATGTTCGATGATAAGAAAGGGAAAGTTGGAGAAGTGATAGGGGACTAAGCCTGCAGGGCTCAGAGGCCTTGGAACATAGGAATGGAGGTTATTGGACAACGCTGAAACGACCAGACTTAGACTGGTATGCAGAAGAACAATCCTCCTAAAATCACTTACTAAGCATATCAAAAATTTCAGCGAAGAAGTTGAATGCATTATCTGCTTAAAAGAAGACAGAAATAGGGGACTGGAGAATCGGGAACATGGGAAGAAGTCTGAGAGAAGAGTTGACAAAGAAAAAAGAGTTAAATGCTAGGAATCAATGAACGGAAGACCAGTGGGGAATTTTTTAGGCAGGGAGGAGATGCAGAGGTCGGCGTCATGGATGGAAGGGTACAGTTCAAAGTAATATACGTACCCGCATGCATAGCACAAGAACACCCAGGATCCGGCAGTGCCTCTGGCTCAAGGAGTAGTGCGCCCGCCCCATATACCGGGGGTGGTGGGTTCACACCCGGACCCAGGCAAAAAAAAAAAAAAAAGAACACACAGGATCCCACTGAAGTGGGGCTTGGCAGGTGGCATTCTCTCACAGCTGGCATGAATTTGGGAAATTTTATAAGTTCAAACAATAGCCCAAATCCTGTGTTATTGATAACAAGATGACTCTACCGAGAAATAAAAGCCAATATTATAATGATAAGGATAATGATGATGATAGGTGCGTACAAATACATAACACCTAACACCAGCCCAGCACAGACAGGCATCATAAAGATTCCCCGAGCTAGGGCCTGCATAGTCTCAGAGTAAACATGAGTATGATGAACTACGTATTCATGTTGTTTCCGCGTTTTGAAGGCATTTTGTGACTGATTTTTATCTGATCAAAGGTCTGGGTCTCAATGGTTGGTGTGGGCAGATACAAACTGGGGGGTCAATCTCTCTCTCCCTCTGCCCTCCCTTATTGGGACCAGGTGGCCTTAACTGGAAGTCTTTTGAGATATGCCTCTTTCTTAAAGAAGCTGCAACCTTTTTGACTGCAAAAGTGGGCCGTGAAGGAAAGGAGGAGCGGGGAGGGGTGGAAGATTCACCCACGAGACCCAGAACACAATCCAGCGTCCCAAGTAAGAAAACCAGGGGCTCTGACAAAGGGAGTGGGTCCTGACGGGCGAGGGGGAGGAAAGGGAGCGAGCGCTCCGGGATCCGGTCTCGGGGAGGAAGCGCTGAGGAGGCCTCTAAGCCACTGCCCCAGCCGAGGGAGCCCCCGGGAAGCAGCTCCAGGAGGAGCGGCGAAGCCGCGGGGCGAGGCCAGGGAGTGCTGGGCGGGCAGAGGTCTCTTACTCTTTAGATTTATCCGAGCCGTGAGCCGAGTTGATGCGATGCACCTCTTTCTTTTTGCTTTGTTTGGTGGTCATGGCCGAGGCCGGCCCTGACGCCACTGAACTTTAAACAATTAGCCGCCCGAGCACCCGCGGGCTTCGCGTCTGCGTTGCCAGGAGACCGGAGTGGGGCGGGGTCGGGCGGGGTCGGGCGGGGTCGGGCGGGGCGGGGCGGGGCGGGGCGGGGCGGCTACCGTGAGTGCGGGCAGCGCCGCGGGCGTGTGGCAGGCGGAGTTTATTAGAGTGTCCAGTAGAATAGCGGAATGATGAAGGGGGTGGTGATAGAAGGGGAGGTGATAAGAGGGATGTGGGAGTGATGAAGGGGGTGGGAGGTAGTGATGGAAGGGAAGGTAGTGGAGGGGGTGGGGGATGGAATGGGTTGGGGATGGAATGGGTGGGGGATAGAGGGGACGGAGGAAGGTGATGGAATGGGGTGATAGAGGAGGTAGAGGAATGCTGAGGAGGGTAGGAAGATGGAGGGATATATAACGTAGTAGAGGGGTTGGGAGGTGACCTGATGGAGTGAGATGATAAGGGGAGGTGTGATGGAGGGGAAGGTATTAGAGGGGGTAAGAATGGAGAGATAAATAAGATGTGTGTAAAATGTTTACCACAGTAGGAAAGCACGGCAATTAGGCCCACTCTTACAGAGATGAGAGCTCTCTGGCCCTTATTCAAGGAGCAGACAGATAACATGAATCAAAGAAAACGGTCAGCTAAATATAGAGAGGGTCTTACACTTAACTAAAGAATACTTAGACTGGAAAAACTTGTAGATCATCAAAACAAAACAAATCAGAGAGATTTAACACACATCCCTGAGGTTTAGGACCTCTACTGATAGTTGATTTCTCCCAGGAGCCCAGAAATAATTAAGCATCTTTAAATAAAAGAGATCCCCTTTGCTCTTGGACCTGGGCACAAGCTCAGAGTTCCATCTGTGCAGGGAAGAAGCAGCTTCTGCTAAGAAAATTCTTCAAGTTCTTTGAAAACTGAATGCCCCACCCTTTCCACTCAGTGCAGTTTATGTTCTGTGAGACTACTTCAATCTTATTACCACTATAAATAACATAGATAACAATCAGACAGTAAAGTCATTGTATTTCTATATGCAAAATACATCAATTCAAAAATCAGCAGTGTTTAGTGTTAGAACTGCAAGAGAGATCAGCAAACTTGCCCTTTGTATACAAAGACATTGAAGATATCCTGTTTATCCCAGGATCGGAACTTCCAGAGAACTCTTCTGAATGAAAGTAGAGGACTAAGTGGTGAGAAAATATTATTTAATACCAAATATTATCGGAGTAATCGAATGCACAGGCATAAGCATATACAAAGACTCTTGGGTAAAAAATAACACAACTCTGAGTAGCCGACCCCATAGACAAGTTAGTTCCATCTTAAGCAAGGACTATCCTTGAAGCCATTGCTAACGGCTACAAGATGCCAAGCCCATTAGCGAAGAAAGATCTGTATCCCACCCATATTTTACAGATAGAAAATCCCAGGCCAAGAGCAGCAAAATGGGAAAAGTTGTAGGGCTACTTATTAACAGTATTTGAAAGACATCACAGTTAAAAGAGTGCCAGTTTAAGCCAAATAGGTCACTACTCTGTTTAGAGCCTGCTTTCTAAACATTTATTAAGTTATGATTAAAGAAGGGGTTATCATCCAAATGAAATGAGATAATCATAAAAAAATTGGGCAAGTATAAATTGCCTGTTAATCCCTAGTCTAATAATTGCTCTCCTTGATTATATTAAGAATGCAGCATGCATAAATGGAATTTCTCTTCTTTTTGGAGCTATGATTATGTGTATAATAGGCAAGTGTGTTCCTCTATAAAATAATTCTTAAGAAATCTTAAGGTTACATTTGTATGTGCCAATACAAAGAGGACAATGGATCCTACAGCTGTTTTTCTTTCTTTAAACCTTTTCCTTATAACCATGGTTATTGTCACTTTAGAACAAAAATAATAGCTGTGATTTACTGACTGCCTACTACATGCCAGGTTCAGGGTGCGGTGCTAACTCCTGTAGGGGCAAACTTCAGTTTAAATACTGACTCTTGTTAGTTGAGCAATCATGGGTCAGTTATTTAACTTCCATTTCCTTTATTTGTAAAAAGGGAAGAAAAATACCTCAAATCTACTCGACACATCTTAAGCACTCAGAAAATGAGAGTTAATGTTATTATTTCACAGGTAAAGAAACTGAAATGCAGAGATGAAACCAGACTAGACTGACACAAAACAGCTGGCAGGTGGCAGAGAAAGACTGGCCAATCCACAGCCTGTCTCCTGTCCAATACTTCAGGCTGACTGTCCTTTCCATGACTTTCCAGATGACTGTATTGGACCTAAGTTTAAGGAACTCTAAACCCTACTGCTGTTTAACAACTTTCAACGACTGAGAAATAGGGTTCATATTTTGTTAGAGCACCCAGAGCAGAACTACTCTCTGATCTACACTTCCTATTTGGGGAAGAGCTATCTGGCTTCAGGAAGCAGTAGTTTCTGCTCTGTAGGGAAGTGGTTAGAAATACCCACTTCCCCATGTCAGCAGGAACAAAACAGGCAGGAGGCCCTCTGCTCAGGGATCTGCCTATATGGGGAAGGGAGTTTCAGCAACCACCTCTCCCTCCACCACTAAAAGTCCTAGATGATTGGAACTGGGTTAGGGTGGGTGGGAGATGGCAGGTGGGGAAGTGAGAGGGGCATTTCTGTTTCTTAAATCCCTAACTCCAGGCATCTTTAGACACTTGATTCCACAGCCAGCTGGAATCATCTAGATGGTGCTGCTCAGCCACGTCTTTACAATTAGGTCAATTATAAAGTTACCTGGAATTTAACCAACCAAATGAGCAAGTGTGAATTCTAAATGTTCTGCATAAGGTTGAACTTAACTCTCCTTTCAAGTTCTATTCTTTTCATGTTTCCATGGAAATTAATATTCTTCTCCTTTGTTCCCAGAGAGCTTTACTTGTTCATTTTTTAAAATTCCTATAATTTCTGCTTTTTTTTTTTTCATTCCCTATGCCCTGGCCCTTGGTTAAATTAAATTAGTAACTGGTCAGGCAGGATTCAACCCCCTGCGATCTAGCACTAGATCCATGCTCTTTCTAACCCCCATTATTCTGCCTCTGACACACTCAGGGATCACAACCCGACCCAAAGTCCAAAGCACACAGAGAGTGGAGCCAGAATGGGAACGTGAGCAGTTTGGCTGCAGACTGTAGGATGCCAAGCTTTCTGCTACAGTAAGAGAGAGTTCACACATGTTCACTATACAGCATTGAAAAGAGTAGGTAACAAAACTTAGATTCTGTTTTGTCCCGGAATATTTAGTCTTGACCCTTGTTATGGAGAATTTAGATCCTGTAGATATAAAACCAGCTGGCCCATCTCATTATTCTGGGTAAACTTTAACATACAATTTTAATGATCTTTGAAAAACATTTCTGAATGGAGAATCATTAAAAAAAGAAGATAAGGAGCAGGGTGTGGCGACTCATGCCTGTAATCCTAGCACTCTGGGAGGCTGAGGCAGGTGGATTGCTGGAGCTCATGAGTTTGACACCAGCCTGAGCAATGGTGAGACCCCATCTCTACTAAAAATAGAAAAACTAACCAGGTGTGGTGGCACATTCCTATAGTCTCAGCTACAAGGGAGAATGAGGCAACAGGATGGCTCCTTGCTGTGAGCTATGATGCCACGGCACTCCACCCAGGGAGACAGAGTGGGACTCTGTCTCAAATAAAAAGAAATTTAAAAGTATTTTAAAGAAAGATATGAAAATAAGATATGAGTTGAAAAACAACTTCCATTTTAAGAAGCTATTTAAAGAAGCAATAGCTTTCCTGTCTGCCACAAAACACTTTGTCAGGATGAAAACTAACCTGTCTTTGGACACTATTGCAATCATCCAGGCATCAGGTGGGGTGACACTGTTCCAGGTGCCCTCTCTGGACAGAGGCACTCACTCCCACCCACCCTACCCCCACCCCTTAGCCACCAGAGGGAGCTGCATCACCCCACCCTATGTTACACCCTTGCCCTGAGAGCTACCTGTCTGAGCTAGAGGGGGATATAATATAATTGGGGAACTCTGAAAGGTGATTCCCTCTCCAGAACTTCCCTTATGATCAATAAAGTCCTCTGTTACAATGAGACATTACAGTTTAACTTCTCCTTCTGCACCATCCTATTTCCTTGTCTGGGAGGGCCAGAGTCCAGTTCCCAGAACTAGTTTAGAAGAGTTAGTACTCAGGATGACCAGAAGCAGACTATAAAATGAGATTTGGGAAGACTTTCACCTCCAAACAAGATGAAGTCACACGGAATGGACTGACTTTCTTGCATGAATTAACTAAGAAACTGAGTGAAATATCCGAAGATATTGACTAGTGGATAATGAAAAACAGTTATTCCAGGGAGGTGGAAAACTAGAAAAGGGAGGCTTTGAATTGCTACAGCTTTCTGCTAGTTTTTGGCACAGTGAGGGGGAAGCCAGGAAGATCCTGACGTGTCTCTGGGAGATATTTTTAGGGACAGAGCTGAGGTCCAGGGAGACTGGGCAGCTAGAGATCAAAGCACAGTGCCAGGGAGGAGAAGCAACACTGTGTAGAGCCTGGATAGGATGGCACTGCACAGACATCTCCAAGCAGGCCCTCAGCATCCATCCATGTGCTGACCTCTCTGCCTGTGAGGATGTTATCTGAGGCCAGGGAAAGAACTACCTGCAATGATTAGGAGGTGTGTTGTCCTAAGGGTGTTGCCGTTAGGGTCTCATGGAAAAGCAATGTCATGAAGAATAAGCACGCTTACTGAAATTGTGTTTTAAATAAAGGTGACCATTTGCTCACTCAGGCACAATGGCGAGCTTCTTTATTTGCAGTTGGTTTACATAGGGAATCTTGTGCCTGCGTACTATACAACAATGACCTCATTAATATTCATTACAATCCCTCTGCACATGCCCATTGGACATCAATGACTTCATTCTGCACATGCGCATTGGACATCAATGAC